TAACGTGTCGCAAAACCTCCTAGCTGAGAAAATAAGATTGAACTACAAAACCCATGACCGCTCTATGGATGTGAGAGTGATGGAATCAACAGATTGTTGCAAAATATCCATCCACACATTTTCAACACTCCCACTTGACTGATATCTTCACTACTGAAAAGTTTCTTTATGGCAAAACAGCCACACTACTGGGAAATGGAGTTGAACCAATAACATTAATGAATAATCTGACCTTAGTGCAGCATTCATCACCATCATCTTCCACCAAGAATGTCATGAATGTGTCTGCTGTGTTTGTTATAAATCTTTAAACTGAAAACGTCTAGCTTTGGGGTGTTCAGCAGCTTTTACTCACAGGGTTATTCTGGCAGGGACTCTTATTGTGAAAGCAGGGCTAGTTTTCTTTGGGGGAATGTGTGTGTAGACAGGAAGGATTGAGAGTCAGCCAAGAGCTGTCATCGCCCGACATCCATGGCTGTAACTAGCTATGAGGACACCGAGGTCCAGACCTTGGTAGTTTCAGAAGGGTGTTTTTACTTTTTGTTTTCTATGAAACAAAGTGTCAGAGGCAACAGAGCACGATATATACATTAACTGACCAACTGGCCAATTTGCTTTTACTTCCAGAGTAAATGTGCATCACTAGTCCAAATCATCTACAGATCATTCACAATATACTGTACTAACAGGGCATGACCTGGGGGAGGCGCTGCTGCTGCTTTAATGCAGCATTGCCTCTGCTGTATTACTAGAGATTTACCCAATGTAACGTTCAGCCAATCGTATCAGACCTCATACATTGTAAACCAGTCATATCTGATATGGGGAAGGGGCTCCGTTTATGCACTGCAGAGTAATCGGCAGCCAAACTGAAGACAGGATTTTGGCTTAAAGCTCACTAATATAAACATTAGACCTTAATCTATAATATACAGAGTGAAACAGTGTGAATATATTTACCCACAATATGGATTTGTGGCAGATTACGGTCAGTATAACTGGATATCTGTGTTTTACTTGGCTGCTTAACTCTAGCTAACTTTGGGGTTAAGTCAGTTAAAGAAAAGGGGCCAGGCTAACACTAGCATTAGCTAACTAGCTGACAAGCCAACTAGCTAAACCTCACCTGTGAGTGTGAGGGTGTGAACGAACAAGAGTGACAGGAATAACGTTACTGAGACTCTTTATGTTCTTTTTTATATTAAATCTTCAGTATTTGGAAATAGTGACACCAGCATTCGCCATATGTTGTTGTTTACTGAATTTTCTTCCTATTCACCAGATTCTCGTTCGAGTTTTCCCACTGCGGCGCCAGAATGAAACTGCTTCAGCATTTAAGGTGGAACGGAAATACTCTAACAAGAAGTTTCAGCTTTGTGTGAAAAGGTAATAATGTATAACACAGTTTTATATCCCTCAATTCCTCAACCTGTGGATGGAAATTAAGAGAAAGCAGCTCCATCAAAGCCCAGTCAGATGAGATTTTTACCAGTTAAAAACAAAAAATTAAATTAACTGATAATTATTTCCTTGAGTTCTCGTAAATCCGAGTTTAATAAAATGAATGTGTTACTAAACAGAGAAAGAGGGAGAGAAAGAAGCTGAAGGAGACTGACAGGACTGAAGGAGCAGGTCTGATGGAGGTTAGTGAGACTGAATTTAATTTAGTTTAACAGAGAAAATATAATATTTATCACCATGACCATGAAATTCTGTCACCCAGCTTATTAAACACGCATACGGAGCAAAATCACACTATTTCTGACTGCACTGAGACTGAACTGATCTATAACCTGTGTATTTGAATAACACATTTAGGACTGTGCAGCTTGCCTAAGAGAGAAGAGAGAGTATTCACCGACTTCAGTACCTTTGCTTGATCTGTGTCTGCTGTAAGGACGGATACAGTGTTTGTTATATTAGCCCTGTGCCACAACACAAACCATGAAGAGGCAGATCTATTGTGTGCCAGTTTGACCAAATAACCATTTTTTTTAATATAACAGCTTAACTTGATAGTTTATGGCTGTTGCTGCTTTAAAAGTGCATTTTGAACATTTTGGGGCTATTAAATAAAATTTCTCTTTGGGGACCATGCCCCCAGACCCCCCTAGTACAGGCCTAGCCCCTCTATCCATTACTGATGCCCCTGTCTACTCTCTATATATACTCTGTAACATACTGGCATAAGGAAGTTCACTGTTAACCAGCCCATTGATGGTATAGTATCATGTATTTTCAGACCGAATACAATCATAAAGAAATACTTGAGTCATTGATTAAATAAGCTTAAACAGAGTAACTGGAGTCAAATCAGTTTATGGAACAGTGATGAGGATGAAAATAAAAGGTGCATAACAGATATGGATGGGTAAAAAAGGAGACATGATTTGGTGGTTTGGTAAAAAAAACAACACAAAATAGGAAACTTATGGTTGGTGTAGCTATTTTTAAAGCTAGTATTTTATTCACTGTGATGTGGGTCCAGGTTTTACGGCCCTGAACGAATCTATTGTGAAAAAAATATTGTGACAATAGAGGCAGAACAGAAGTAGATGTAACAATAGAAGTAACACAGCACCATTAGCAAAAAAAAAAGAAAAAGAAAAAAAAATATATATATATATATTGAATGTGTAAACTTCAATCAAAGTCTGTTTCCAGTTGTGTTCACTTTCATGGAAGTGTGCAGGGTTAAAAGTTTTACCGCAGTCAGCCGGCAGAGGGCGTCAGAGACAGTTTGGTTTCACTTTTCACCCCCTGTCGTCCAGTCCACTCTTATACACAGTCTATGCAGAGAACTGAGAATAGATCTCAATAGAACTAGAGATGAGAATTCCCACTCTGCAATATCCCCCGGGTTTCTCAAACGCTAGAGGGCGCTCCCTAGTGAGTCCAAAATGAATGGGTTGATACGGAGCATTTGAGCAAAATCATAGTTTATAAATGCTTAAACATTTTTAATGTAAAAGAATACAATAATTTCCTGAACACAGAGCAGCATAAAACATTTAAACACCGCTGTTATATTTTTAAGACCTTTTAAACTCGAGATATAGGGGTTTTAAACGGCACCTCAAGTACGTCCATGACGTCAGTGAGCGCGAACAGCCAATGAGCTGCTCCGCTCGCCAATCAATCATCGCGCTCTAGCAGTAAATCCCGCCTCCTGCTGCCCAAAACCCGTTTGTTGTAGAAAAAAGGAAACATACAGGTGAGATTTCTTTGTTTTTTAGTGAAATACATCCTTCTACTTTCTAAAACTAAAGAAACGTTCTGGGCGAGAGTTTAGAAACTATTTTAACTGTTCGTTTTTAACCGTTGAGCTTCATTCACTCCCATTCATTGAGGACTCACTCGCGGGCGCCCTCTGCTGCTTAACAGTCCTGTTTTTGTTATAACGGGGGAATAGGGAGTGGCCAGGCTCCTCATAAACCGGCTCTGGTCTATGGTCTAGAACGTGTTGCAGAATTAGTAATGGGTCTCCACTGACTTTGGCTCCATCTAGTGGAGAACACAGTTATAACATCAAGCTCTTAATAATGAATAACATTAAGATATTAGTTTACTTAAGCTAACAGTTTACAAACTCAACTGAACCTGAAAATCACTCTGATAATCTGAACATGTTGAGTGTTTTGCTATGTCAGCTAAAGTCCTCTAATCCTTCATTCACTCCCTGACAAACACTGTGAAACACCTCCAAATCTAAATCTACACCTCCATTACCGCATGACTTCATCCAAGACTCTCTACACAAACCTGAAGTTTGACAGACACTGCAGCATCACTACGGGAAGCAGGACTTGTCAGAATGTTTGCAAATGACCATTAAATTGTAAGAAAAAAACACATACTATGGCATTCAAAAGTTTGTGCACCCCAGGTCAAAATTCCTGTTACCACATAACACTTCCTACTTGTTCATAATCTGATAAGTGTGTCTGTCCTCATCTGGAGGCCACAGAGGTAGAAAGAGGATGTGAGGTTGTGCTCATTTAGACTCAAGATTCCTGCCTCCCAACAATACTAGGGTATTCAGTACAGCTGTATGTGTAGGATTTTACGAAGCGTGTGTGCATTAAAACAGTGCAAACTGAAAGAGCAGCATTAACTGGAAGGCAGGTATAAATTAAGCTCTCTGACGGCTGAAGGGAAGGAAAGCTACTTTTCTGGATTTTTACCACCCGTGGGCTTGTGAGCTAAGGTGGCATCATCTGAGTGATTAAAATCCAGAAAGAAAAATTAATGTGCAACTAAGCTACTGGCCCCTAATCATCAAAGTTGCGTAGTGGTCAAATGTGATTGTAAAATGAGCGCATGAAAATTTTGCAGACAGTTTTCTTATTCATCAGTTTCATCGTTAGCATATCTGTATGATCACACTCACATCTGATAGGAGAGCGTAAAAATTTAAGTGTAATAGTGTAACAACCTGAAAAAAATGCCTGATTAAGGTAGACTTACCATAGACTTGGTTAAGTAACCAAGACTATTGTCAACATAATGTTTACTACCAATAATAAGAGTAGGACTTATTTTACAAGTACATTGATATAAACAAATGCTAAAACTATTCCATGTTCCATTTAAAGACACATTAACGCTGTGCTTTTGTTTTATACTGCTGACTCCGCCCACAAAATTTCACATTTTGTCAGCAATCCGATCAACACGTTTACATGTACTTGAGTAATCAGATAATGGGAAACTTCGGATTTCTGCTTTACAACCAGCCAATAGACTCATAGAAGAAGACGTGGCGTAAACATAACGTAAAACTCAAACTTCATACCACAGCTTTATTTTTTAAACACTGAGCCGCTTTACCTGAAAATATAAAATCCAGCTCTCTTTATCAGATTTCTTAATCAGATTTCTAGATCGGAGTATGGTGTTTATATGACTATTTCAACTGTAAAAATCCAATTATGATCGGATTATTGAGTGCATGTAAACACATTCGATGTTGTTTAAATGTTTATATAGTTTATGTGGATCCTCCTCTCAGTGATGGTTTATTAAGATGAAAATAAACAAAGACATTTTCTCCAAAGCCTTTTATCTCATCTTTACCAACAGACCAAATCATCCTGGGAGCACTACAGCAGCATGAACACTGTGTTGGTCTTATGCAGTGTATCACAAAGGTTTGTTCAAAAATATCTCAGTGATGTGTAAAAACTCTCACCTTTACTCCATAGACTTCACATGATGCAGTCATACACTGAATGAAACAGCTCAGTTTTTTCACTTCAATTTCATTTCAAACCCCAACATAAAAGGAAAGTACAAAGAAATCATCCTGAATGCTGGACAGCTGCCCTGACATTCAGTGACCATTCCACTGAAATTGGAATTGTTCATGATAAAGAAGTGAGTTACAATTGTTAAGTTTTACATTATTGGTTAACCAGTAATACATTAATATGTGGGGACTTTATCTTTAAATAGTAAAGGGCCCCTTTCAGGGAAAAACAAATAAATAACATTTAAAAAGAGAAGACAAGAGAGATGAGAACAAATATCATTTGCATATATCTGTCTTAAAGGAACAGCAACAAAAACAACATCATTCATTCAAAGGAATAAACAGAAGTTGGAAGATTGTTCAGTAAAAAACAAAATATGACTGTTTTGGCACAAAAAAACCACACAACTGTCATAAAAAATATAAAATACTAAGCCCAAGACTTTTTGTGTCATAAATATTGTCAAAATCAGCAAATATGTAAAAATGCATAATGTTTACCCAAAATGTTTGGTAGTTTTTGATGTTTGACAGTTGAACAACTAAATTTTAGTAACTCCAAACTCCAACAGCAACAAACATGTGACCCTACAGGTAAAACCCACAGTGCCCAAATAGGACACCAACAAACCTGACATGAGAGTCAGCAACCTAAGAGTGAAAGCAAAGCCAAGCAGACTCGGTGAGATCAATCAGTGAGATAAAGTCTCCAGTGTTTCAGGACCTCCACGCTGGTTTACGAGTGCTGCCCCTATTCTTCCAGCTACAACACTGCACTCCAATTGGGTCAACAACATGAGCGCCCTGTGAGGTGAAATATGGCAAAAAGTGAATATTAAAACAGCATTTTCAGTAAAGTTTTCATATAGTTAAATAACACCTACATAAGCATAGAGTTAAATAACACCTACATGAGCATAGAGTTAAATAACACCTACATGAGCATAGAGTTAAATAACACCTACATGAGAATATAGTTAAATAAGTTTTCATGAAGGCTTTAGTCAAATTTGATGTCTGTTAAGTCACAGATTTTTGCCGACATTAGGTTGCCATGACCTTTCCACGGGTGGAATGGCACAACAATGACAAAAAATGTAGCTCAGTATATTTTTAAGCCATGTCAAAGTGACATAACGGTGATGATGTGATGTAGCTTGCTAAGTGATGCTGGTTGCCAAATTAAACAAACATGAGCACTTTGTGGTGACATTGACATTTACTGTAAAATGTTTTACAGTAAATGGGCCATACTTCATTAACGTTGACTGAATCATTATGGCTACGTTATGAAATGTTTGTGTAAGATATTATGAATGCATGTATGTATATATAGCAACAGAATAAGCAATGCAATGGACTGTAAGGCTATTTTTTTTATAAATAATAAAATTTATAAAAACTCCTGCTCAGGAGTAAACTAGGAGTGTGAAGACAGTACAAGCCTAGTGTGGTTTGGTTAAAGTGAGTCTCATTTGGACAGGAAAGCTTAGCAGTAGAGGAGAGAAGGAGAGAAAAGAAGCTTGTACAAGTAGGCAAAAAATCTGAGGATCAACTGATATAAGGCTGTATAGGATACAGTGATTTTCATGATTTTGAAGTCAATAAGGATACAATCAGACATGCCAGTCTGGGACCCAGTTATAGCAACATCTCTTATGCTGCATTTAAATGTTGGCATTGAAAAAATTGTGGGGATTTTGAGGGACAGTTTAAGGGCGTTTTCACACCTGAAAGCCCAGACCAAGGTCAGAACCAAGGTTCATGCTTTTGTTACATTTAATCTGGTTAGTTTTGGTTTCACATTGGAATTTAGTGAGTGCAATAAAGAACTTTGCATGGCACACCTACATCCTGTCGCCATCACCTGCGTGAGCTGCGTCTCCCTATACTTAACACTGATTGGTTTGTAGAGAAGCGTCTGACCTCCACCTGTTCTCAGTTTTGTGGGTAGCCTATTCCGTTTGAGAGGAATATCCTGTCTCTCTCTTAATCTCTCAGGAATTAAGATCTAAGTTTCGCATTTTTTATGCGTTTTTCAAGTTGACTTCTCACTTTTTCTTCAGTCCAAATTACAAATAATGTTTCGTCTCCTCCTCACTTTTACTTCTCTCCCAGTTGTTTTTCTTCCTCTATTGTTCAATGGTTGACGATAGCCTGCCTCAACTTCCTGTAATTGGTCTGAAAGTCCGAACCATCCAGAAATGAAATGAACTGAACCATGGTTCAGTTTAATCTGGACTGAGACCACCTCTTTTGGTCAGACCAAACACAATATTTGAAGTTTTACCTAATTAACTTTTTTGTAAATATACAATTCCAAATTTGATGCCTGTAAAATGTTCCAAAGCACAGCAGTTCAGCTGTACCGGCTTTCACTGTCGCATCTGGTGCGTTACAATGCGGTGCATGTATATAGTGGCTGGCAGGTCTAGTGCTCACACTCCTTGATTATGCAGCCATGCTGTTGTAACACATGCAGAATGTGCATCTCATGTTAAAACAGACCAACACCTGTCAGAGGATTGAAAGACTGCAGGAGTAGTAGAGAGAGTGGAGACTCGAGGAGGTGTCATCAGTGCCAGACCAGCAGCAGGCGGATGAAATGAAGTGACAGTGGAGTGTACCAGCAGTGTCCTCATTGAATTAAAATGATCTATAAGCAGTTTTTCCTTACAAACATATTTGAAAAATAGTACAAAGTATTCTGTACTAAAACTACTTATCTTGTCACATGAAATTTTTTGTTGTTTTTCACTTAAGCAATAGAACGCGAGAGGGAGTGTGTTATCGCGAAATAACAGCACGGCTGTGATAAACGTGGCATTTAATATGTTTTATGCAGTTCCTTCCACCAAATTATAGTTTCTTAAGGAGCAGCTCGTTGCTACGTCAGAGTAACGAACTCCAATCACTCGCTGCACAGCCGGCAGTTCGTTCTCCAGCTCCACACAGACCGACTGACAGTTTGGGAATTTAGTGTAGTCTCATCTTCAGAGTCTGACCAAATCGGCTGTCGGTCAAATGTGATCTTAAAAGTGTCCATTTTCTGTTTGTGGCAAAGTAAGAAGTAAAAACGTTCAAATGGCTTGAGCGTCTCCTACAGCTGTCAAAGTCGTTGCTTAGCGAAATATCAGCAAAGTTTGAACGCTTCTCAACCAATCAGCTTGCGCAGCTGGAACTAACTGTTGTATAATATTTATTATGATGTGAAAATTCCTGTTACCCTTTAAATTATGTTAAAATCTCACGATGAACAGATAAATTAGACCAATAGAAATGGTCTAATTTGATATTGTTACATTGGTTTTCGTTACAAGTTAAAAATGTTTTTTTCTGAACCATCTTGACACAGAGTTGGTTAGCAGACTGGCTGGCTAATGGACACTTGCATCATGTGGGTCTGAAAAAGAACTGAGCAGAGGGAGCTACAGAACTGTCTACATCCCCCATAAGCAGTAAAGCATTCTGTTAGTGCCAATAAACATGTAAACACACACAGCTCATTCACCATATAGCTCCCCTTCATAGAGCTTATGGGACCTTTAACCACACAAAGCAGCTGAACCCCTGCAGCCTAAACCATCTGCTTTAAGATCCCTTTTAGGTTTTATTAACTTTAAAAATTAAGCAAATAATTTTTTGCGGCCAGATTTGCATTTTCAGTTTCCAAATATCTTTTCAAGAAAGCACATCATACATTTAGGATAATTGAGACCTTTTAGCCAGATAGAATGATTTATCTAGTTATTTACTGACTGTGACAGGATCCATTCAGTAGTTATTGAATAAATCATAACTGAATGGAAATATTAACTTCTGTTACTTTCGTGAAGCTGAAATAAAGTGTAACATTTTGTTTTGATGTACTTGAAAAAATCTAATATTCAAAAATGTATTTAATTTCATAGTGACATTCTAATAAATGGCCTGCAATGTCATCATGAAATCCTGGTTGGGAAACCCTGGTCTAGAACAAAGTCCAGGAGTGCTCTCCAGCAGGGGTAAAGTTCAGCTCAAAGAGTGATGCAGGACACTCTCTGTCACACATTACAGCACGCTTGACCACCTCAAAATCACCTTACAGTATGCTGGACTACCTCGGAATCAGGACAGCTTGAGCCGAACACATTCCAAAGGCATTTGTCATTTAAATGCATACATGGAAAATATTCAGGTACAGAATCCATTTAGTACTAAGTATAAAAAATATAAAGTGTTTGTTGCCTGGAATACAAGAGGATGGAGTCTGCTTGCTTAATGAACATGAAAGGCATTTTAGATTTGCTATGTAAACGCAAATATAGTCATGTATGTATTTTATACTTACAGGATACAAAAGAACATATGATGAGAAAGGCAGCTTCAAATGGTAAGAGAATCAGTCGCAGATCTTCCACTGTGCGTTCACCTTCTCCTAATGAGAGAAGAACACAAGAGAAAATCGAATCACATTGTGACTAATCAAGATCACTGTAACTGCAGGAAAGAGTCACTTTTAAAACAGACTGTGTGAAAAAATTACAATGTTCTGTAAAAGTAAGTGATGCTAATGAAACTAAAACTGAAAATAGCAATCAGGTTCTGGTATTCTGAATATTACACAATTTCCCTTCAATATGAATTACTATGATTAATATTTCTAATATTTACAGTAAGTAATAAAATGTGATGTTTGATAAAGCTGCTGGAGATCATGATGATATGTGAAGTGATAAACTATTATTAAAACAGTGTTTCTCTGACAGGATCTGAGTCAATAAATGACTGTTAAATACAGTCAGGATTGCCTGAACAGCTTTCTCTATTTGTGTTTGCAGTCAGGCTACAAACATCAGTAAATATGTATATTTTTATTTTCATTAATGCCTCATCTGCTTTACCATACAGTCTACACATTTTACACACAACACTGAGAACAGTCATTCCTGCCCTCACTTCACTAAAGAAACTCATTTATGATAACAATAAAAATATGATTTATGGTGCAGTCCTAGTGAGCTAGTGGTTACTTGCCTGCTTGTCTGATAAGTTCTACTACCAGTGTGACAGAGTTCACAATAAACAGGACTGCTGCTCCAGATGGATATAGTTTTCTGATCAGTGCTGTAATACAAAACAAGAAAAAAGAGATTCACTGGAAAACGTTGGGGTTTTTTTTGGAATCACAGCAGCAGCAGTGTGATCTACAGCAAGACACAACAGAGAGCGCAGATCTGGAATCCTGAGTTTTCTGTTCTGTAACTCACCTGATCCAACTTCAGTAAATTCATCAGCTTCCCATGAGTTGAGTTGGACCAGAAGAAGAACTGCACTACACAAGGCAGTGTTACACCATTACCTTTATTTAGACCACTATTTTAGGCAACTTCACCAAAACAAAACATTCACAAACTGCCCAAACACAAACAGCAGACCATACAGTCCCCACAAGAGACAGTAAGATACTAGATTGTTGCTAGACTGTATTGAAGAACACATATGGTTCTCTTCCTGGTGCTGCTTTGGGCCTCTGTGATCACTGCCTAGTTCATCTCCCCACCTACAGACAGAAGCTAAAATCTGCTAAACCTGTGGTCAGTAGTGTGAAAAAAGTAGACAAATGAGGGAAAGAACAACGTACAGAACTGTCTGGAATGTCCTGATTGGAGTGTGTTTGAAAATGCAGCTAACAAGCTACATACATACACTGCCCCATGACATCTTACAGCTTTTCTAAGAACATCTGTATTTCCACCAGGACTGGAATTAAATATGATAATGATGAACCCAAACAGATGTATAGAAATGAGGCATATGGAAGTTGTGACAGGACTATGAACAACCAGGCGAGGAACTCAAATCAGCCAAAATAGCTACAGAGCCAGTAAGTTGGGCAGTTTGCTGTCAGCCAGTGACCCAGTGACTGTGGAAAGGCCTGCAAGCCCCCCACACATTTGGTTGATAAGCTTAATACATACATATTTTTCACATCTCTAGTTTGTGAAATGTGTGGTGTTTAAAATTGTTTTACGGTAAGATGTAATTATTTTACTGTAATTGTCTGATATTTGAATGCTCCACAAAAAAGGAAAATGTGCATATTTACAACTTGCTTAAAGGAATTTACCTGCCTTACCCCTTACATTTCCAGTATAAATAAGTGTTACCAACTTTGGATGGACTGTACACATATAATCTATGTCACGAAGAAAAAGATTTTTTAAACTTACAGTAACACTTCCTTTTTGGATGGTCCATTTTTGACAGTAAATTGACTATATGTTACCTGTCAATCAAATGTTACAGAGCTGTTTCATGACCATCAGCTTCTAGAGCCGTAAGTGTTATCAAATTATATTATACAGACAGTCAGATGAGGGTCAACTACATCGCCAAAACCTTTCTATAGCAAGAAAGCTGTATATCAATAGGTTCTCAGTTACACTTAGCAACACTTTATCTATTGCTAAGTGTAATGAGATATCCACATATCCCTTTTGTACCTCCTTTTTTATGTTGTGGAGAAGTTGTTGAGATGTGGTAAACACTCATTTGACTGTCTATATGATATAATTTAATAACACTTATGGCACTAGACGTTGATGGAATAACTCTGTAAAATTTGATTGATAGCTAAGGTAAAGTCAGTTTACCTTCAAAAATAGACCGTCCAAAAGCTGGAAATGGTTACTAGGAATCTCGTTGAGATCGCTTAGTGTTCTTTCTGTGCAGATGGATGTTAAGTTAATGACAGTGTATAAACATGGAGGAGAGAGTAGAAGATGAAGTCAATAAGTAGGCTAAACATTTTCATTTTCTGGATTCACATTATCACTACATATCCAAAAGACAGCAGCTAGCTATGCCAGACTGCACTGACCAACTAGTCTTAGGATGCTAAAAATACAGCTGATTGACAGTTACAGCACTGCTTTGTAACAGGGAAAGTGCAGCCAGCCTGCTTCAAAACCTAATATTTCAGAAACATAAGTTTTTGTTATACTGAAACATAAGTAATTATTCCATTGTGTCCAAAACTATTGCAAATATAAAAGGAGGTGCTGGAGGTACCTCATGATATTATCTCCTGGCAATTCCAAAATATCCTAAACATATATCCTGAGGGCCACAAAACATCTTTGTTAACTTTTTGCCTTCTTGCCAGGGCAAGGATCTTGCCTGCAGTCCACAACTGAACACCAACAGTGTCTCATTTGCATTTTATCAGTCAAAGGGAGCTCAGAAGCACCTTCTATTTGCCACTGATGGAGCTTTTGGTGAGGACCATAATCATGCAGACTCAGCAACAGCTTATTAACTAAAATTCCACAAGCAAGGACCAATCAGAGTGGACGGTTTTGTTTACAGCTGTCTGACCAACATGGCAGAGAGGAGGATATTCAGATGTGAGTGAAAGTGCGTTTGTCATCATCATTGAGCTGCACTGTGTCTATAATCTGAATTCAGATACTGCAAATCAGTTAACTGAGAGTGAGATCAAGTCTTGACATTTTCTGTTGTGAATGTTGTATTTTCAGTGTAGCTCTGCAGTGGCTGATGTTTTCTTTTGCAAATAAACAGTTTCGTGTTTATCTTTGTTTATTTCTGACAACTTAATGAGATATTTCAGTTTTTTCACTTACCCAGTAATTCAGCCATTTCACCCCTGACTGTGTGGAAGGAAAACAATTCAAGTTAGATCATAAAAGTTTCTACCAAATAACTCATGTAAATTCATACTAGCAATGTATTTAACTTGAATCTGGATTCACTGAATGGAATGTTAGAATCTGGCCTTTCATAGTGTGAAGAGATACAGTGCGGAAGTCAAATTCAATAGCTACAGTTAATAAACTGAAAAATAATATTTACAGAGCTTGCAGGACTAAAATACTCCTGCTGTGCAAGAACTGAAATTCCTTTAGGAAACGTAAATCTAGTTTAAGTAATTCTCCCCATTAAGAACATCATATGAACACATTGTGTTAATATTTCTTGGGCACTCATTACTGAGCAGCATGTTAAAGAGAACATGTAATTCTACAAAGAGATCCAGACCAAGAGGAACTAAGAGGACAGATTTCTTTTACTCTAATCAACAAGATCTTGAAAAAGAATACAAACAATGAATACTGTACCATAACGCCAAATTACAGTGAATACCAAGATCACACAGCACACTGAGAGGATAGTCAACAGGATTAGTCCGACATTACCTGTACAAAGGAAAAAGTATATGAAAGTCCATGAAAATCTTTACAGCGTTAAAAAGTGTCAAATTTTCACTGTTAAAATTTTAGTGTTGAGAGTTGATTCTGGAGCTGTTTTTACACCCGGCGTGTTGATTAAACTCAGTCTTGTGTTACAGCAGACTGTAAGTACACAGCAGATTTGCTAGTGTAAAATCTACACTGTGAGTGTTAAATTTAACTTTCTCAGTGTGTCTACAGGTCCACACCAATCTGAGTTGAAGTTTGACTTTATTAAGTGTTGGTATTTTACACAACTTTAGGTGTTAAATATTTAACATGGTCAGTGTTGAAAGTTTAAAACATAGATTTGAGAAATATTATGTCATGATTAGATTCATTGTTTTCTTTCAATCACTGTATTTCAAGTAAAGATTAGATTTTTGTTAATATTTTGAATGAAAGATCACAAGGATTAGCAATAAAAATGATTTTTGTATTTGTGGGGAAATAGTGTGATTATTCTATCAGCTAAAGTGAAAATAGACAATAAGCATTTGTCTGTTTATCTTAAAGATTTTAGTCCGACACTTTTTTGTGATAAATGTCTAGATGTGTGCATAATTTCTAAAAATTCGTTAGTGCTGTATTAATGAAAGGTGTTATAAAGTTTTATTCTTTTTTTCTCTTTCTTATGTTGATGGTAGGTGGTCGATGGCAAAATGGATATTCCATTTTATTCCATTATTAAAGCATTCAGTGAAACATTCTGAAGAGTTCAATTTTCCTAACTTTTGCTGTTGAGGGCAGCAGTGGAATAAACTAGGTGTTGATTATTTCAGAAGACAAGGAAGCTGAATGTCTCCTCAAGCACCCACAGTTATACATCAAAAGAGTTTAGAGCGCCGTCCTGTGTTCTTCCACCTTAAATAAACAGTCAACACTGCTAAAGCTCTTCTGTGATAATCCTTCTTTTTGCCTTTGACTGTGTCACCATGGCAACGTTTTCATGGCTGCATGCCCCCATTGGTAGTGTACAACTAGGAGGCACAGAAACACTTTAACGTCAACATGTAAACACCACATTACACTTTTTACAACATTTTAGGTTAAAGCTGCACTATGTAAGATTGTTTTAGTTAAAACCTAAAGAAGTACATTACTGAATCAGCAGAAAAAACTGGCTAAATTATGGAGTGCATGCACTGCTGTGAATCGCCCTGTAAAGCCTGAAATAATCATTTAAAAGGTGTTGGGTCAGATTTTGTGGGACCTTGTTTGTACGCTCATTGTCCATTTTATCAGGTATAAGCTTTTTTGCCCCCGTCCCAAAAAGTTGGGACTGGGGCAAAAAAAGGCTGGTTGTAAAGTTGTGTAATGCTAACACCTGGTAGTTGATTGGCAACAGTTCAGTAACATGATTGATGAACACTCTGTGAAAGACTGCACAATCAAATACTGTTACTCTTTACATTGTGTGTAAATTTCACCAAAAAGAAACAGCCCAAACTGACTTGGCAAAAATTCTGGTTCCTTTGACTTACATTAAAAGTAAAGTAGGTTTTTACCTTCTCCTGTAAAGTTACTATTTTGGAGATGGTAACTCTCCCAATGAGATTTTCTTCCAACAACAGCAATTTGTTCAATTTGATCAGCAGCACCTGATTTAATGTAATTAAGTTCAGTATAATGGTTTTTAATAGCTTAATAGCGTAATAGCTTAATAGCTTAAGCGTAATAAAATTACATAATAAACATCTTTGAATCAGGAACATCAGCCAATGAGATTTTAGAACTGGAATGACCAGCTCTATCATTTACTTTTAAAAGTTTGTTAATCTGAGGCTAAACCTCTACTGTGCTAATGACAGAACAACAGCCCCACAGTGAAGGCAGAACTCTGTATTTTTGTTTTGTGCCCCTCTGTGTGATCATGCAATGTTGATATTTTGCACAGTTCTGTAATGCAACCCTGTGTTTGAAAATGGTGCTATATAAATTAAATGCATTAATATTATTACTATTGTTATTATTATGAAACTCATCACATACCATTAGTGTCGATCACTTCACGAGTGAGAAAAAGTATCACTAGCATGAAGCCATCTGCGACACATCGAAAGATTACTGCAAAAACTGTGAATGACAAAATGATAAAAGTTATTTCACATCAGTGGCATTTATAAATTTAAACATTCAAACTCTATTAGCAAAGTTAAAACACAGACAACACTAACTCTGAGTTTAATAACCGTCTGGTAAATGCACACACTGTATTCTGCAGTGGGGATGTTAATATTGTTGGAAATCTTCTGTTGCTGCAGGACTAAAACTGACCCATGCGCTGCACCATCTGCACTGGGGTTTAAAAGTTTTAAAACTATTTTAATAAAAGATTTGACACTGCTATTGCAAGGAAATATAATTTTTAATCGAAAGACAAACATAAGATAATTTTGTTAAAAAATATTAAATCTGTGCAGATTAACAAAAAAGGCAAATAAAAATTGATGTTTGATATAAAAAAGCTAATATACAAAGAGAAAGTAACTGTTAATATGATCACCTGTCACTGATTTACTTATTTACATACTTACTGATCACTTTTAGATACTCAAATTGTTGTTGTTACATCAATCAATAAATAAATTATTCAATGCAATTATTTAGCAAACAAAAAGTCAGAAATGAATTGTCCACTGTGTAAAAAGGGCACATTATCATGCCCCTGTCTCCTCCCCCACCTCCTCCTTTCCAGCACTCTGGCTCTTTTGACTGATGCCTGTTTTTACCCTGAACCTTGAACCTGCTTATCCTGTATTAGCCTGTCTGCTCTCACTGTGACTTTGGACTGTCTGACCTTATTTTTGTGTGGATTTATTAAACTGTCTGCATCCAGTCTCCTCTCATTCGTGACTGACGAGGTGAAAGCCGGCATGTAAAGTATGGCTGTGTTTGGTTCCCTCTGTGAATTTGTGGAGGAAAACAGCAACTGGACTGAGTACATCTTAATGTTGGAGCACATTTCCTTGCAAATGGCACAGCCAATGAAGCTGAGCAGCGCTCCGTCCTCCTCGGTGTTTGTGTGTCTAAAACCTACAAACTGATCCTGAAATTGGCGTCTCTGTGAAATCCAGGGCAGACTGCATTCAAGGACTTACTGAAGATCCAGGATCATCACAACCTTAAGTCTTCTGTCATTGTGCAGCACTTCTAATTTCAGTCATGTACACAAGCCAGGAGTTACAGTGGCCATGTTCATGGTGGAGCTATGGCAGCTCTCTGAGCACTGTGAATTTGGAACAGTGGTAGAGGACACGCTGTGTGATGGTTTAATCTGGACCAAGGATGACCTGGGCACTACAAAGGGTGGAGTGGAGCCGCTCCTGCCATATTCTGGTTACTCTGACATTGTGAACAAGCCTTTCTTTCTAAGGCGTGGTCTTTTCCAGGCCACCAAACAAACAACGTGGCAAGCAGTGTCTTTAAAACCACAATCACTGGCGAAATGTGGAACTTACAATAGTAACATTCAGTTTGTTTGGAGAACTCACCTGAGTTCCCCTTTGATATGTGATGCATGGTTCATCCTAATGCCACATAAATGATGACAGCCTGCAGCACAGACTGTTAGGATGAACCATGCATCACATATCAAAGGGGAACTCAGGTGAGTTCTCCAAACAAACTGAATGTTACTATTGTAAGTTCCAGATTTCGCCAGTGATTGTGGTTTTAAAGACACTGCTTGCCACGTTGTTTGTTTGGTGGCCTGGAAAAGACCACGCCTTAGAAAGAAAGGCTTGTTCACAATGTCAGAGTAACCAGAATATGGCAGGAGTGGCTCCACTCCACCCTTTGTAGTGCCCAGGTCATCCTTGGTCCAGGTTGTACTTGGATTACCTGTTCCAATTATGGGGAAACATGTTCCTGATGCTAGTGGACTTACACAATAAGTGGCTGGAAGGATCTGTCATGTCAAAAATCACTGTCCCCAGCACTACAGAGGTGCTCAAAGCATGTTTGCCACACATGGCTTACCAGACGTTGTGGTCACTGATAATGGGCCCACATTTACTACTGACATGTTCCAGGAGTCCATGCAAATACTGTATGTATACATTGGTATAAAACCTTTACGCTGTGTGGCTCTGTTTACAATGAGGTTCTTTACACATCTCTTTTTCAAACATAGTTCTTTAGGGAACCAAAAGTAGTTCTTCTGCTAAATTGAGCACAGAACGCTTTGTGGCACCTTTATTTTTTAGAGTGTACTTTGAGGAGATATGTTTGAGCTGGAAACGTTGAGTGACATTTTATCTGTCTATGCAACGAGGCTAGTCACAGATGTAAAAATAAAGTATTTTATTTTGGATGTTAACATTAGCTTACAGCAGAAAAAAAAACAAAACGCCTTTTCTGTGCCTTTTCTTCTGTCTCTAGTCTCTTTTTGACCCTGGGCAACAGCCATATATGAAGACGTGTATGGTGTGGAATATACTCCTTTCCAGATGGGGGCACATGAAGGCTAATTTAGAACAACCTGAATTCACCAACATCAGAACAAGCATAAGAACATATTTATGCACTTACGCATTTGTTGTAAATCCAGCAATAATTTTAAATGAGATGTTTCTTTGCACATATAGTTGTACGTAAACTCTCATTATCAGAGTGCATGCACCACTGAGCTTCAAGAGGGCGACGGTGGAAAAGGTGAGAAGCTTTATGTTCCTCAGTGTCCACATAGTCGAGGATCTCTGGTCACTGAACACACATTGTCAAACAGGCCCAACAACGCCTCTACTTCCTCAGAAGGCTGAGGAGAGTCAACCTGTCACAATAGCTCCTCTGCAACTTCTACAGGTTCACTGTGGAGAGCATCCTGACAAGCTGCATCACCGTCTGGTGTGGCAGTGCCACTGCTGCTGAACATAAGGCCCTGGAGAGGGTGGTGAAAACTGCCCAGCACATCACTGCAGCTGCCATCCCACCCATACAGAATGCTTACAACAAGAGATGTCTGAGGAAAGTCAGCAACATCTTCTCTAATCCTACATACCTCAGCCACTCCCTGTTTAAACCTCAGCCACTCCCTGTTTAAACCTCAGCCACTCCCTGTTTAAACCTCTGCTATTCAGAAAGACATACCGTAACATCTGAGCCAGAACCACCAGATTCAAGAACAGTTTTTATCTGCAAGCTGTTAAACTGGTCACACCAGCTACACCAACCAGAACATGAACACAAACAATACGGACTGTAACTGAGCTAACCCAGCTCTTCCCAGTTCACTCAGCATATCTGTACTGTGAACATTTATGCTGTGAACTGATTACTTGAACAGTAAGCTGTGAATACTAATTTACCTGCACTGTACACTTCATGAGTATAACTGTGACAATGTGTTTACACTGTATTTACAACACTACTATACCGCACACTTGACCTGATTTACGTCAACATACTGTACACTTCCAATATTAACATTTATATCTGTTATATAACATATTTATTTTGTACTATATTTTGCATGTTTAATTCTACCTCTACCTTCTGATCTTATACCTTTGGGCACATATTCTGTTTTTATATACCTTTTATCACTGCACCATTTTTTTAGAGCATCCAATAGTCCTGACTTTGTACTGGGTTTTGTCTGGCAAACTTCAGTTGTGCCTCTGTATTCTTTTCTGAGAGCAGAGCTCTTTTGGTATGATGTAGCCTCACACTGCAGAACAAATCAGACTACAGGGTTCTGGTGTTAATATAAGGTACTGTCCTTGTAAAAAAAAAGTTTTGTCAATGATATTTAAAAAAAAAATGAAATAATTTTTATCTATTAGTATTGTTGAGATGGCAGTCCATTATCCGTATGTGCAATATGTTGAAAAAAGCACACTTTTTCATGGAATTTTACTTTTCCACTGCACTTTAGACTTCTAGCTGGTGCTGCAGTTTAAAACGTGCATAACTGTCACAAGCAAACTCTTCCAATCTGCATAAAAACACTGAGTAGTAACAGAAATTGAATTAGAATTTTTCTCATTTGAAGTTCATTTTGTTGTTGTTTCAGGATATTTAAAATTACACTTTGTTCCTTTATTGGAGCGGGCAGGGGAGAGTCAGCAGAAACCAACTTCATTAAAAAAAGAGAAAATCTTTACTGAAAGAAGAGTGAATGGACAAAGATAATACAGTGATTATGAATGGTTCAAAAACTGTGTATGACATGATAAAAGTAAATATACAAAAAACTACAGCAAAATTTACAACTTACAAAGGCAAAGCGCAGTCCAATCACTGCCAGACAAAACAATCAAGATGACGGCTGAAATTCAGAGAATGATAAATATTAGTGCAGTTCTGTAGTTTCTGCTAAAATTATTTATGCTGATTATTATTTTAAATTAATTTAACATTCAGCTATTCAACAATGACTAGAATGAAATTAATATGAAGTTTTAGACAAACTTGGATTTTTTAGTTTAAATATTTCTGAAAGTCTGAAATGTGCAGAATAAAAAAGCCTATACAGTGAACAATACAGCATCATGTAAGTGTGGTATGTGTTACATTTTGTTCATAATTTGATAATATGTAATAATAAATAATATATAACAGCAAGCATTTTTAGCTCAGCTTGTAATTCATAACTGCCAAATAAGGAGACTGTCAGATAGACAAACTGATGAAAACACCTAACAATATACTAACATTCTAAAATCAGTGCAGTTGAATCAGCTCCATCAGATAAATTCATCATGACAAATTAATGCATTTTACATGCATAATATAAACCCATATATCCAACAGACATTTGCACATCATGGAAAGGAGAAAAATATGACTAGTAACATAAACAAGTTCCATAATCAGACACTTTAAAAACAAACAGGTAGGCAATAAAAAGTAAATCCTACCTACAATGACGATAATATTCAACACCGGTGAAAATCCAGCAAAACCCATCCATAAGATATTCTGTGTTCCCCAGCCATGCCGTCCAATCACTGGAGGAAAAAGAAAAAAAGAGAACACAAACACAAAAGCATGAGAATCAGGTCTGGTGCCTCTGCATTGCAGGGGGACTCCACATCACTGCTCTGCACTGATGGAAAGAGGAGATTAGTATTAATCTCCTAATAGGACACACTGGTTATTACCAGTCAGAAAACCAAGCAACTTCAGTCAGTGAAGTTGAGACTTCTTTACAAAATAAGAGATTCAGCAAGGCTGCAACACTCCTCTCCTACTGGAGAACAACTGATACTGCCTCTGTTATGAGGCTGCCTCCAAAGCAGAAGGCAGGAGCTCAGAACTTAAGCAAGCTCACACAGCGAGAGCTGCACATGATGCAGGAACACTTATGTATTAGTCATGTTACTCTGCAGAATTTCATTTCTCTGCAATGTTTTGCATGAACTACTTGCACTTTATTCTCAAGAGGAAAATCAATTGCGACTTAAGTGATGAACTTATAAGTTAAAGTAGTGAGAAAACAAAAAAATCTATGTTCATACTTAAAACCTAAACTAAGAATCACCTTTTCTATTACCAGTTTAACCATTTTTATGATTCAAATATCTTAACAAAAACACAGGGGACGTTCTGAAACAGAAACACTTAACAGAAAAAAGTACAACATGGCTTAGTGTAAAACTACGACCCAGGAAACCCAAACTCCTAAGATGTGTTCCTGTGTTGTTGTTTTAGTACATTGTCACGACACCTTTTCACATCAAGCATTATAGAAGGTCTTCTTTATAAGTATTCTCTGATGACCAGACTACCACTGTTTAATGCTAAAGGGACTTGTAACCCATATTGGTTTATGCTGTATGCTTAGTAGTTTTTTATTTTAAATCAAAGCTACACATGACTTATTTGAATCCCTGATTAAGTTAACATCAGTTTACTAAATTGATTAATCTGGAGGCAGGGGGTCTTCAAAGTAAAATCTGTCTCAGGGCCTCCTACAATCTGTTAAAGTTTGCTATGAATTGGACTTCATTGCATTAAAAAACGAGTGGATCATAAAGAGCAGATGTAAGAGGGGATGTAAAGAACTGCATGGATTAAATCAACTGGATGGATGTTATTCACAATAAACAAAAACTAACTACATGAGAATCAATAACCCTGTTTACCTATAAAGTACACAATCTGGAAATGGGAAAATAGATAACTGAAATAATCAAATACACTTAAAGTACAAAATAAACAGTATAAGAATATGAACAGCCTTACTAACAGTAAACTGATCAACAGGAAAAAGGATCCAAAAAAGGAACAAAATGGGGCAATGATTCTGACAGTAGGGCTGTGACGCTATGGATTTTTTATTGCCAATGCCTCCTCACCCTCCTCCTGACACCATTAACCCCCCATCCCCCCAGTGACACAAAAAAAACACACAGTACAGTCTGATTCTGACTAACTGCTGATATGCTGGCTCTAATTTGGAGGACAAAAAACTAATGTCTGACAGAGCAAAAGTGGACAGAAGGCCAAAACCGATCCTGTTCTGAGGTGCTGTCACACTGGTACTTCACTCCTCAGAGACTCCCAACTGTCACTGCGGCCTGAGGTTGTGCCTCCTGAGGCAGGTGGGCTGCTGCCGCCAAATCTGATGTTGCATCCAATCCAGTTCCCCCCTAAGATTTATGTCCTCCTTCACAAATCAAGCCCCTGGGCGTGTGCATTCACTGAACAGAAATCAACGCCAAGGAAGAACAACTACAGAAAGCAAAAAATGGCTGTTTGTTATTTATTGTATCAACCCTGATTTGTGAAGGGAAACCTAAATTTAAGAGGGGGGTCTAAATCAGATGCAACACCGGCCAACACGGCAGTGTAGTTCATTCTAAAATGTAATCTTAAATTAGATGTATTTCCTAATGATACATATACTTTTTTCTACAAATGTGTCATTTAGCCTCACAAATTCACCGGCTGTCCCTTTTCGTCTGGCTCAAAATGTGCCCAAATTGGCAAGTTAACATCTGGCTGAGGAACTACATTTGTGGCCAGTGTTGAGTTGAATAATGTCAACTGGCAATACCACATAAAAGAAGTGTGTCTGCTATAAGTACTTGCAATTAAAATTTGTTTACATCATGTTTCTGTTATTTTATGTCTGTGTATTGTGTGTGTGTATATATAATCTGTTAAACGTTATCCGTAGATGAGTAGTGCTCCAGACGAGAAAAAATCAATAATAATCAATGATCAATGAAAGAAAATGAAACACAAAAAAAAATGTGTGATGCAGTGATTTGTGGTGATGATGGTAATGAGCTCAGCCCTACTGTAGACATCAGATAAATACTGTTTGTGGTAATCTGGTTATCATCACAGACATACCTGACAATAGGTTTTCAAAAAAACACCTATTGCATCAAAAAAGCATCAAATGTGGCTGTTATCACAGGATACCAACAAAGCTAAAATTTGTGTTTCTGCAGTAAGACACATGAATTTCTTTATTGAGGCACCAAACTTAAAAAGACATTCGGGCATTTACCCTTGATATTTAAGCTCTCTCACTGACTGTTATCGGATTCACACATTCAGTTACAAAGCTGATAGGGTTCAGAGGGTTAAAATATGTATTTCTGCTGAAAGGTGACTGAATGGAGACAGTGAGCTGTGGCTCTGCTGAATGGAGACAGAGTGTTGTGGCTCTGCTGAATAGAGACAGTGTGTTGTGGCTCTGCTGAATGGAGACAGTGTGCTGTGGCTCTGCTGAATGGAGACAGTGTGCAGTGACTCTGCTGAATGGAGACAGTGAGCTGTGGCTCTGCTGAATGGAGACAGTGTGTTGTGACTCTGCTGAATGGAGACAGTGAGCTGTGGCTCTGCTGAATGGAGACAGTGAGCTGTGGCTCTGCTGAATGGTGACAGTGTGTTGTGACTCTGCTGAATGGAGACAGTGAGCTGTGGCTCTGCTGAATGGTGACAGTGAGCTGTGACTCTGCTGAATGGAGACAGTGAGCTGTGACTCTGCTGAATGGAGACAGTGAGCTGTGACTCTGCTGAATGGTGACAGTAAGCTGTGACTCTGCTGAATGGAGACAGTGAGCTGTGACTCTGCTGAATGGAGACAGTGAGCTGTGACTCTGCTGAATGGAGACAGTGAGCTGTGACTCTGCTGAATGGAGACAGTGAGCTGTGACTCTGCTGAATGGTGACAGTGAGCTGTGACTCTGCTGAATGGAGACAGTGTGTTGTGGCTCTGCTGAATGGAGACAGTGTGTTGTGGCTCTGCTGTATAGAGACAGTGTGCTGTGACTCTGCTGAATGGAGACAGTGTGCTGTGGCTCTGCTGAATGGAGACAGTGTGTTCTGACTCTGCTGAATGGAGACAGAATGTTGTGGCTCTGCTGAATGGAGACAGTGTGTTGTGGCTCTGCTGAATGGAGACACACTCTATCCTTTGTGTTGTGGCAAAAAACTCCTCAAGCAGACATTTTTATCAAGCATGAACTGTATGAGTAGTTTTAAGATAATTCTATGGGTAATCATTTTATTTCATAGTGTACTTGTAATCTGATTGCTGTCTTTTTCTGTAAATATAATGGATTTACTCTTTTATATCCTCACTACATAACATTGATACAAGTATTCTCTTACTACCCAACCCCGGTCACTGATTCTCACACTCACACTACAACGAAGGTTGTAAAATATCAAACGACAGCGTCATGCATGGATATAAAAGAACTATCCCGGAAAACTAGTCTTTTATGAGCAAGGGTGGGTCGAGGCTCATCACTTTGTCAAAGAACATGTCAGTGGTTTTCGGTATATCACCCTCCATGATGCAGAATATTATTAAAAGATTCAGGGAAGCTGGAGAAATCTTTGTGCATGAAGGGCAAGGCTGAAAACCACAACTGAATGCCTGTGACCTTTGACCTCTAGACAGCACTTCAAAACTGGAGCCTTTTCCTTTTCCTGGAGGTCCACTTATGACACTTATGGGTGGGTTTATGTACCTAATACAGTTATAATTTATTTTTACATGACCATTTTCTATTAAACAGGCTTTCTTGTATTGTGCTTTATTGAAAAATCAGTCCTTATAACTTCAGTGTAAATGGGTGGGGCTAAACTGCTGTTGGCTGAAAAGACAAATATATGTAAATGTCTAGACTTTCATGGCACCAGAAAACAATCAATTCCAAACTGACTGTTTTTGCAGCATAATGTCTTTATAAAGTTTGTATGTACTGAAGAGAGAACAAATTTTAACCATATCTTAAACTTAAACAGTATTTACATTCTACAACCCTGGTTCCAAAAAGTTGGGACGCTGTGCAAAATGTAAATAAAAACAGAATGCAATGATGTGCAAATATATTTAACTGAAAAAAGTACAAAATCAACATATCAAATGTTGAAACTGAGAATTTTTTTTTATCTATTTCCATTTTGAATTTGACGCCAGTGACACATTTCAAAAAAGTTGGGACGGGGGCATGTTTACCACTGTGTTTCATCACCTCTTCTTTTAACAGCACTCAGTAAATGTTTGGGAACTGAGGAGACACTGCTGTAGTTTTGAAAGTGATATTTTTTCTTGATATGTGATTTCAGCTCTCAACAGTTCAGGGTCTCCTTTGTTGTACTTTTAATTTCATAATGTGCCAAAGGTCATCAGTGGTGACAGGTCTGGACTGCAGGCAGGCCAGTTTAGCACCTGGACTCTTTTAATACGCAGCAATGCTGTTGTAATAAATGTAGAATGTGGTTTAACATTGTCTTGCTGACATAAGCAAGGCCTTCCCTGAAAAAGACGTCATCTGGATGGCAGCATGTGTTGCTCCAAAACCTGAATATATTGTTCAGCATTAATGGCACCTTTCACAGATGTGCACTAATGCACACCCACACCACCACTGATGCTGGCTTTTGAACTGTGTACTGATAAGCTGGATGGTCCCTCTCCTCTTTAGCCCAGAGGACTCTGCGTCCATGATTTCCAAAAAGAACCTCAAAGTTTGATTTGGTGGACCACAGGACACTTTTCCACTTTGCCTTAGTCCATCTTAAATGAGCTCAGTTCCAGAGAAGGTGGCAGCGTTTCTGGATACTGTTTATATATGGTTTCTTCTTTGCATGGTGGAGTTTTAACTTGCATTTGTGGATGCAGCAACAAACTGTGTTCACAAACACAGATTTTTTTTTTTCAAAAGATATATATTATTTTTTTTTTATATGTTGTCTTTGTACTAATTCCCATTAAATATAAGTTTTAAATGATTTGCACAACATTGCATTCTGTTTTTATTTACATTTTCCACAGCGTCCCCACTTTTTTGGAAATAGGGCTACACTTCACTATTTTATTTCAAAAAAGTGAGGACAATTCAGTTTTTCCCTGATATGGGCCTTTAAGTGTTCTTAAAAGGAAAGGTGAACAGTGGTAAACATGCTCCAGTCTTAGCTTTTTTTGGAATGTACTGCAGATAAGCAATTTGATTTGTAAAACTGAAGCTAAATCGTCCTAATAACAAGCAGGAACTGAAGGCCTGGCAGAGCATCACCAGGGAAGAACTCCAGCTTCTGGTGATGTCTATGGGTTCCCAACTTCAGGCAGCTGCTGACTGCAAATGATTTGCAACCAAGTATTAAAATAGTAAAAATAACCATTAACTTTTGCTTATGAAAAAAGGGGGAGGGGTTATGTATGAAAATGGTTTTAATGCCTACATCATTCTTCTGATTTGGATGTAAATACCCTCAAATTAAAGTATTTTAAGCTCTAATTCATTATTTAATTTTAACTCCAATATGCTGTGAAACAACAATAACAATAACTTTGTCAACATCCTAATATTTATGGGTCTGACTGTAAAAAGGTAAATAGATCATTACAGTGTATTATTTTTAATTTAATACTTCTTGTTAGCATCATTCATGGATAACTTGCATACCTGTAAACATTCATTCTGCAGGGTAAATATGCATTTTGGAGCAACATATCCTGCCATCTTTTTCAGGGATGTCTCTGTTTGTTTCAGAAAGAAATGCCAAACCACATTCTGAATGAGTTACAACAGTGTGGCTTCACAGTAAGAGAGTGCAGGTGCTAGACTGGCCTGCCTGCAGTTCAAACCTGTTTCCCATTAAATCATGAGATGCATTATGGAATGCAATATACAGCCACAGAGACCCCCAACTGTTGAGAAGCTGATGTGTTATATCAAGCAAGACTACAACAAATGGTGTCCTCAGTTCCCAAACGATTACTAAACACTGTTAAAAGGAAAGGTGATGTAACACAGTGGTAAACAAGTTAATTAGATGAAACATTAAATATCATGTTTTTGTGCTGTTTTCAACTGAATACAGGTCAAAATGATTTTCAGATCACTGCTTTCTGTTTTTATTTCCATTTTACCAAGTGTCACAACTTTTATGGAATTGCAATCCCTGTAAGTTATTAGTGTGTATAATTAAGCTTATTAAAGTATCATATAGTTATGATATATGTCACTGGAGAGGATCGGCAGACTACCAAATGAGCTGAAAACATTATTCTTGATTTTTCTCTATAATCATGTATACATGTATCAAAAATTATATTTAATGACCGTGGAATAGTGACATTCATTTGTTTCGCCAATTGTTTATGTATGTATATATTCATAAATGTCATAAATGTAGTGACTGCGATGGACTGGCGACCTGTTCAGGGTGTATCCTGCCTTCCGCCCAATGACAGCTGGGATAGGCTCCAGCACCCCACCGTGACCCAGAAGGATAAGCGGTTTAGATGATGGATGGATGGATAAATGTAGTGAGTTTAAAACTGTTTGACCATTATTTAATATGTAAAAATCATGGGTACTTACCTGCAGCAGCAATTACAGACAACACAACCCATTCCACTGTGATAAGTGGCACTGCAAGGAATCTTTGGAGTCTGCCTGTAAAATATAAAGCATGGAACCTTAATATATATGTTTTTATGGGAAATGTATAAAAATAATGGCCAATATAAAAATTAAATTCTGTCCAAGAGAGCTCACATCTGAACCCTCACAAAGAACAACACACACACAAGAAAACAGAAATGTAGCATTTACATCAGCTTTATATTTACTACTATAAACCACTAAAATTAAATCTATAAGATTATCATTTTATTTCCCTTATTCAAAAAAGAAATGGATTCCATCTATTTAGTATAAAGGCAGCAACGTCCTGCCTTTAGAAAAATATCACTGTGCTGTACTGCTGATACACAATCAGCTTTTAAATGGTGTGAGAGGAGTTGATCTGATCTGACATCTCTGCAGCAGGTCTAACCGCACCTGTACACAATGTATTTAGTCAAACTCCTCCCCTGTACAGAACTGTGCCGCTATATAATTCAAAATCTATACCTGCAACCATATTCCTGCAGTAAAATATGATACAATTATGTTCCCTAGCTGAAGGTACTGAAGGCCCCTCAGGGTACCACCCCAGTGACAAGAGGTGTGACACCCCAGGGACAGTTTAGTACCTTTTTTCTGAGAGTGCCAGATTGTCACAAACTTTAGGACCATCTCAGGATAAGACCAGAAAATATTTGTGATCTCTCATCTGAATTGCGTGAAAAAATGGTCCGACTTCTGATTGTAAACTGCACTGAAATCAATACATTGTAATAAACTGATGTAAAACAACACAAATATGTATCACATAAAGCAAACATAAATAATGATAGTAATAATAGTAAGAGAGCCATTATTTACATACCATGAAAACGTTTAAAGTATGGACAAAATACAAGTAGCCAAAGAGTCCTTAGAAGATTAATAGTTGAACAAGTGGCAGCCTCACTGATAAATCCTGAAGAAACAGGAAATGAGTTTAATGACACTTCTTTTTAACGTCAAGTAAAACAGAAGATACAAACATCTAGTGAGTTTAAACTGTTTGGACAGCTCCACTTTGTTAATATGTCCATGTTGTTTTGATTTTGTCACAATTGTATAATCAACCAAAGAAGCTGAAAATAATAATACATATAGATAGATACAATTCCAGAGCAAAATCTCAACAAAGTAAGGGATTTCACAGTTTTTAATAACAGGTAGCAATATTATCACATTGTCAGGTTTAGTCTGATTTCTCCTACAAACGTGGATGTATTATTTTATGAGTTTGCATTATAATTAAAGCACATATGGAAAATGGAAATCAGGATGAATTTCTGAACAATAAACCATTAACTGTTACAATTAACAAAAACAATAATAATTAATAATAATAAACAATTAATTAACTGTTTGAAATATTTTTTTTATTTACAAAATATACTAAGATACATTTATGTACCATGAATAGAATATTGTAATCACTACATATAAGGCACCACCATAAACATCTGTTTTTGGTTCTCCTAATACTCCAAAACTCTAGGAATAAAGTCTAACACAAGAATAATAACTTGACCTGATGACTGAATGGACAGCACTGCTCTCACCAGATTGTTACTGCAGATGCTTGGGCTAATTTGAATGATAAAGAAGGTGGCAACTTTTCACATCAGCAATACATTCTGTCCTCCTTCCCATAATCCACCATGCATCTTTTTCTTCACCTCCATCAGGAATGAACTGAGACCATTTTTAATCATGGCCAGTAAACACAGTGATCAGTAAGGTGGCCACTGTAATCCTACATCTTGGAAGCTACTGAATTTCTTTAAATCTAATGTAAGTTGTATAAAAACAACCATAAAATACTTACCATTAAGCACACCCCAAATGATGAAGGCCACAAACATAAGAATGTTTGGACCAAAGACAAGAACATGCTGTATGATTTCTGTGCAACTGCCTAAAAAGATAAAGAACAGCTGCATTTGAGAGTTTTACGATTCAATTACAAATTCCACTGTCATGAATTTGTCATAAAAGTGTTTAAATGAAGACTTTACATACCGGGCTCTTTATAAAAAGTGTATAGGATGGAGCTAAGAAATCCACCCAAACAAGTAAAGATACAGAGGACCAGTATTATATTGTGTATGTGGGAAAAACCTAAGAGGAAAAGACAAGAGTTGTGTTACTATATGTGAAATGCAGAACAGCTCAAGATATCAACGGTATGCAGTCACCAGAACAACAAGGGTGAAAAGTAAATTTGACCCTAAACTTTTCAAAGCACTTGGTTAATGATATTTCAAGAAAACAAGAAAGTCCACTTTCCCCAAATGAACAGACCACTGCTATGTGCACAAACAGGCAGAGAGTCAAAGTCAGTGGCAGAACCAATTACAATAATTTCAACTAAGGGGCTCCACTGGGCTTAATACCACTTATAGCAACTCCTTAGACACGGACATCTGAAGCTTGTAAGAGGCTTTTGAGTAAGATAATCATTTTATATGATTCAGTTTTACTGTGAAATCTTACTTTTAGTCTAGCCTGGTGTTGGTTCATGGTTTCTTTTCAAAGAGACACAAAAAACGTAATTTTTCTAAACTTGAAGGAGTGACATAAAATCTGAATTATACAAACTAAAATTCAAACTGTGCAAATACAAGTCATGTCAAAATATTGCACAATTTCTGAGGTGTTTTGACTTATTTGTTAAAAATCTGTTGCTTACCACACCAAGGGCAGTGTGTCTGAAATTTGGGAGACATCATCTTTTGAGACTCCACACCTGTTCTAACAACTTTGCCCATTATTTGTGTTCTACTGCCTCTCACATGGCATGTCATGATTGGACCCCTATGATCAATACTTGCAGTGTAATTTGTAGATGGTCACTAAGCTCTCACAGCAGTAATGACAGTCTATACAAATAAACGTTTTACATACATTTCAGACATAAACCCCAAAGCAGGCTGAGTTTCTCAGTTGCTAAAAATTATAATCTACAAAAGCTGCCAAATGTTGAAAGAGGTGAAAAAGTAATGAAGACAACCAAAATTCTCAGAAACAAAGCTAAGGGTTTTGAGGGAACAATTACTGGCAAATGATAATACATTGGTAAAGATGCAACAAAAGTATAACTGTAAAGTATAACTACAACACTGTTATCTGTTAATCTGTTAATGTCTTCCTCTTTAACTCCTAAATTTGCCTTTCACACAGCAAAGGTTTATAGTAATCTGAAATCCTGAAAGCCAGTCTTCTTCCTGCTCGTGTGCTCCTACAACAGCAGTTAGGTCACATCGCACAAGCAGTAAAACACCAGTAATCCTTGTTTATGAATGAGTAAACGTGTAATCGTATCACGGTCGTCACAATCTCAGACCCGGGTGGCAGGTGGGACTGGAACTGCCAATCTGCAGTCCAAAGGCAGACTTCATCTCAGCATCATCATTCTCCCATTCTCTGCACTTCCTGGCTTTGACAGAGACTTGCATCACCCCCAAGAACTCAGCAACTCCGGCAGCTCTATCCTCTGCCTTTAACTTCTCCCTTTCTATAAGACAGACTGGTAGGAGTGCTGACACAGGTTTGCTTTTGTCTAGAAAGTGGAGTTCCACTCCTCTCATTTTCTCATCTTTTAATTTCCTCTTTTCAGTACCAGGCTGTTACTGTATCTTTCCCCACTAACTTCATATCATCGTCATTTCTCACCCTGCAACTCCATAGATGAGTTAGACACTTTTCTGAGTCTCCCCCCCATCGATGGAACCTGACTCATACTCTTCGGTGACTTTAACCTTCCATCGGACAAGCTGCAGTCACTCCGCCTCTTACCACTGCTATCATCCTTTGACCTCACTTCTGCTTACCTCATCTGCACTTTGAATAGTGTAGTGATCCACATTTTATAAAGTTTCATCGATGGAAGTTGGACCAGCCAGCAGCTCTCCTCACAAGCTCTGAAGAGGCAGTAAGGCAATCCACTTCTTTTCTATAATTCAGTCTTGATGCTGGGATATCTGTATCCCCCTTTCCTTTTAATTTAAATCCAGATCAGGAATCAATTAGGTCTCTGGTTTCTCTCTCCATATCTATGAATCAAATCTATCATTTAATGTGTTGATTACCTTGTCATTAATATCCAGCTAATGAGAGCAGGATAAGAGCATCTGCTAAATGCTGTAAATGTAAATGAGTGTCACGCATTCGGTTAACTCTCTGGAAGACACGGACTTCATCTCCCAGAATCCTCTGGGAGATCACATGACTGAACATCCGCACTCGGAATCCAGCTCCGGAGAGAACTCCATTGCCCAGAATTCAATGGAGTCTCATGTGACTTTGGACTTTCACCGGCGAACCTATCAACGCTCTCAATCCCCTGAGTACTAACTATGTTCACCCGTGCATATGATCATGTGACAGATAGTTAGCAGTATTTAAGCCCGGGCTTTAGTCTGAATCTTTGCGAGGTGTTGTTTCCTAGAAACCTACTGAGCGTTATTTGCCTGTTTGATTATACTCCGTGTTTTGACCTTTGCTTCGTTTGTTCTGTTTTTGACTTTTTGCCTCTTCCCTTGGTACTTTTGCTGTTCTGACGGATCTGTGTTTTGACTTTTGGACTGATTTTCTGTCACAACGTCACAATGAGAGAAGGGATTCTCTCTAATAATTCTCGGCTGGCAGCAGACCCCCCAGCTGTGAGGTTTCGTGTGAATGTCATGTTTACTATTTAAAATGGCAAATTTTGCTGAAATGTTTCAAGATTGTATATGTGATTAAAAACAGCAGCATCATTTTAGTTCAATATAAGCTTTGGAATTTATTCTTCAGAGAATTTTACTGAGAAAAGACTCAGCAAAAAAGGCTTAACATATGTGACATAAATGTGTGATTAAATGAGTGTATCATGAAAACATGTATGGTGAAGTGCATCATGGGTGTATATTTGTGTTTTCCCTACACTCCCAGGAAAAAAGTACCAAACTGTCACTGGGGTAGTACCTCAAACTTGGGAACGTAACTGTACCCTGTTCTGTTGCAGTTATTGCAGTTTTTAAGTTGGGACTTCATACACTCTGTCTTGACTCCAGACTTTTTATTTTATTTTTATTTTTCTAAAAAGTTGAAAAGCTGCCAGTATTTACCTGTTCTCTTGGAAAGTGAATGTAATGTATCTTTAAAACTCATTTAAAGTACACTGCTGGACTTTAAAGAACATGTTGTGTCTTTGAGGCTACATTTATGTTGTTTATACAGGGAGATTCACTTGAAAGAGGCCCTGAATATTCTGTTGTAATTCCCGTTAGGATGAAGCAATCTGAACCAAAAAAACACTCCACATGCCTTGACCAATGTGTGATCGATTGAATTACATGCAATGCTGAAGGCAGCACTGCAGTGATCTCCGTTTTCTGCCAGACACATAAAGCGGTATGAGGGTTTGCACCTGGAAGTTGCAAACGGAGGTTAAACGTCACGACGGCTGTCCGGCGCCTACCTCATCGCTCTGACGCAGGGGCATCCCGGCTTGTTCGAAGCTCCATATACTGAGGAGCACATTGCACGTTGTTTCATTGAGATTGTTTCATCCTACAGACAGTTATTACAGAATATTCAGGGCTTCTTTCGAGTGAGTCTCCCTGTGCATTGTCGGACAAAATGTACCTGTACAGAACCTCTTTTGACACTGTATTCTAACACACCTGAATCAGCTTGCTAATCAGTTAGTGAGTTATATGAAGTGTGCTCGATGAGGGAAAGTAGTCAAACGTGCATGAAATTATGGCCAATGTTTGTTGTTTTTTTGCTCTATCAAAATTTTGTCCCACCATTTTTGGGTTGCATGACTTAATTTTTACTAGTTGTTAATTCATTCAAAAAAGTATCTGACAGGTTGTCATTTATCATATTAAAGACAACAACAAGAGTGTTTTGGACATCAAGGAATCCTGGGGCTAATAGCAGATGCTTTTGACGTGGATATGCAATTTCTATTGTATTTCAGACTCAGATGTAGACAAGACTGTTACACTCTGCACCAGGGAGCAGAGTGAATCTGGGTCAAATATACAGTAACTACTGATCTCATCTCAGTTTTTACAACTTAGACTTCTCATCTGTACTTCTGTCACTCAATTTATTTTCTGAAAAAGTAAATTAGTAGTAAATTATGTTCTTGAAGCAATTAGGTCAATTGGTTTAAAGCTTTAGGAAGCTACAAATGCAACAAAGAAATATCTGGTTTCACATGGAAATACAAAAGAGCAGGTTTTGCTACATAAAGGCTTGGCGCATGTGAGAACAGTCCACTGGAGTGGATGGACAGAGGTTAAGAGGCAAAACAAGAAAAAAAATGGAGTTTCTTACAATTACTCTACTCAGGCACCACTGACTACTAGTCAACAGACACCCACAACACCTACTAGTGTACTAGTCAATCCATGGTTTTTCTTGGGTTTACTGAACCGTTTCAGGTTGTCCCTCCTCTAGCACACCTGATCCAACTTAACTGTTAACTGCTTCAATGACATAAGGCATGGTAATCTGTCATTTCTATTTAGTGCAAAACGTCAGATTTGACATGATAACAAAACTTTAAAAATCCACACTTTAGTGAGAGAAGTACATAATATATAGTGTGAAAATATAGTGCACAGTTTTCAAACAGAAAATGATCAGCAATTATACGGCTTACCGGAGCAATGACAGTCATGTCACCATGTACATGTTAACTTACCCAAAGGCAGTATTTCCACAGTTGTGTGAGCTGAAACCTCCCCAGAGAGCACTTCACATCTATACAGGCCTTTGTCCTCCATTCGGAGAGTCTTTATTCTGAGTGAGAAGTTTCCTTTGTGGATTTCTTCAGGGCCAAAGGACTCGACTCTGTCTCTGAATCTCTCGTGGGTAAAATCTGTCTGGACCTCACCCTCTTGGAAGACCAGCACTGTAATGTCTTGATCCACTTTCTTCCATGAGACCACTTCAAGCTCTTCAGGTGGGATATGGGAGTCTACAGAGCAACTCAGAGTGAAGTCTTCATGTACATATGCAGATACTGCATGACCTCCAGTCACAATCAAATACTCTGAAAGAAGAATCGAATAATTGAAATATTACAGTACAGAAGTCTCAAATCAAATTAAACAATTTCATAATACATCTCAAATCAAATTTGTTTGGCAATTGATTCAGCTAATTTTGACAAAAAGCCATTGTAGATCCTGCGTCTTACATTTTGGTCAGAGGTGATAATCTGTTTATCCCAGTGAAAGAAACACAAAGACTACTGCAGGTTTCTAAGGACTACTGTGTACGAGACGAGAAGCACAGTACACCAGGAAAGTGCAGCTATAGCTCATAGTGTCAGATAAGCAACAAGCTCCAGCTCATTTTGTACTCTACTCTTTTTTCATACTCTGATTTAATGGTATAAAAATGTCAACATAATTTAACACAAAGATATTTTATGGACAAACTCAATTCCAAAATAGTGGGGACAGAATGTGAAGTGCTAATAAAAACAGAAAGCAGTGATTAGTAAAGTCTGTTTGATCTGTAATTGAAAACAGTTCAATAAACATTTGATGCTTAATTGTTTTTCTGTAAATATGTGCTCATTTCCAAATATGAATACGTTTCAAGAAAGTTGGGACAGGCGCATATTTACCAATGTGTTAGACCACCTTTCCTTTTAACAACACTTAATGAACATTTTGGGACTGAAGAAACCAGTTTATCCAGTCTTGAAAGTATAATTTCTGTAACACTCTTCAGTTATACAGGTCTGTAGCTGCTGCACAGATCCTTCACTGTCATATTTTGCACTTCATAATGTTTTCAGTAGGCGACAAGCAGGCCTGCTGTTGTAACATGAGCAGAATGTTTCTTGCTGTTATGTTGAAATAAGCATGGACGTCCCTGAAAAAGACGGTGTACGAAAGGCAGCATGTGTTGCTCCAAAATGTGTTCAGCATTAATGATGCTATCACAAATGTGCATGTTACCCAATAATACCCCCCCAGTACCGTGACAGACCCTGGTTTTCGAACTTCACTCTGGTAATATCTTGTCTTTGTACTGCTTTCATTTTAGTGCAGGTCAAAGTACACTTCAAAGCTTTCTGCTTTCATTTGCATGTCATATACTGTCCCATCCTTTTATGCCGTGAATTATTATTATTTTTACATTTTCGTTTATTCATTCATTCATTCATGCATTTATTTATTTATTGCACCCATTAGGCTATTGTGCTGTCAGTCTATCTTTCTTCTAGCACAGCCTCTTCTTAAAACACTTCTCAATGGTCATCTGTTTGGTGAACATTATATACAACCCCAATTCAAAAAAAGTTGGGACACTGTGTAAAATGTGAATTAATGTAAATACAAACAGAATACAATGATTTCCAAATCTCATTAACCGATATTTTATTCACAATAGAACATAGAAAACATATCAGGTGTTGAAAGTGAGACATTTTCCCATTTCATGAAAAACAGTAACTCATTTAGAACTTGATGGCAGAAACGCATCTCAAAAAGGTTTGGACAGGGCCGTGTCTACCATTGTGTAGCCTCCCCTCTTCTTTTAACAACAGTCTGTAAACGTCTGGGAAGTGCAGAGACCAATTGCTGAAGTCAACAGACACCCACAACACCTAGTAGTGTATTAGTCAATCCATGGTTTTTCTTGGTTTTACTGAACCGTTTCAGGTTGTCCCTCCTCTAGCACACCTGATCCAACTTAACTGATAACCGCTTCAATGACATAAGGCATGGTAATCTGTCATTTCTATTTAGTGCAAAACATCAAATTTAACATGATAAAAAAACTTTTAAAAATCCACACTCTAAAAAGGAGAAGTACATACTATATAGTGTGAAAATATAGTGCACAGTTTTCAAACAGAAAATGATCAGCAATTATATGGCTTACCAGAGCAATGACAGTCATGTCAGCATGTACATGTTAACTTACCCAAAGGCAGTATTTCCACAGTTGTGTGAGCTGAAACCTCCCCAGAGAGCACTTCACATCTATACAGGCCTTTGTCCTCCATGCGTAGAGTCTTTATTCTGAGTGAGAAGTTTCCTTTGTGGATTTCTTCAGGGCCGAAGAACTCGACTCTGTCTCTGAATCTCTCGTGGGTAAAATCTGTCTGGACCTCACCCTCTTGGAAGACCAGCACTGTAATGTCTTGATCCACTTTCTTCCATGAGACCACTTCAAGCTCTTCAGGTGAGATATGGGAGTCTACAGAGCAACTCAGAGTGAAGTCTTCATGTACATATGCAGATACAGCATGACCTCCAGTCACAATCAAATACTCTGAAAGAAGAATCGAATAATTGAAATATTACAGTACAGAAGTCTCAAATCAAATTAAACAATTTCATAATACATCTCAAATCAAATTTGTTTGGCAATTGATTCAGCTAATTTTGACAAAAAGCCATTGTAGATCCTGCGTCTTACATTTTGGTCAGAAGTGATAATCTGTTTATCCCAGTGAAAGAAACACAAAGACTACTGCAGCTTTCTAAGGACTACTGTGTACCAGACGAGAAGCACAGTACACCAGGAAAGTGCAGCTATAGCTCATAGTGTCAGATAAGCAACAAGCTCCAGCTCATTTTGTACTCTACTCTTTTTTCATACTCTGATTTAATGGTATAAAAATGTCAACATAATTTAACACAAAGATATTTTATGGACAAACTCAATTCCAAAATAGTGGGGACAGTATGTGAAGTGCTAATAAAAACAGAAAGCAGTGATTAGTAAAGTCTGTTTGATCTGTAATTGAAAGCAGTTCAATAAACATTTGATGCTTAATTGTTTTTCTGTAAATATATGCTCATTTCCAAATATGAATACGTTTCAAGAAAGTTGGGACAGGCGCATATTTACCAATGTGTTAGACCACCTTTCCTTTTAAAAACACTTAATGAACATTTTGGGACTGAAGAAACCAGTTTATCCAGTCTTGAAAGTATAATTTCTGTAACACTCTTCAGTTATACAGGTCTGTAGCTGCTGCACAGATCCTTCACTGTCATATTTTGCACTTCATAATGTTTTCAGTAGGCGACAAGCAGGCCTGCTGTTGTAACATGAGCCGAATGTTTCTTGCTGTCATGTTGAAATAAGCATGGACGTCCCTGAAAAAGACGGTGTACGAAAGGCAGCATGTGTTGCTCCAAAATGTGTTCAGCATTAATGATGCTATCACAAATGTGCATGTTACCCAATAATACCCTCCCCCCCAGTACCGTGACAGACCCTGGATTTCGTGATGACATATGGCTTCTTCTTTGCATGATACAGCTTTAACTTGCATTTGTGGATTGCACGGTGAACTGTGTTCACAGACAATGATTTCTGGAAGTGTTCCTGAGCTCATGCAGTGATTTCCAGTACAGAATCATGCCATTTGTAATGCAGTGCTGCCTGAGGTCCCAAAGAGCACAAGCATCTAATACTGACTGTTGGCCTTGTCCCTTGCGTACATGGATTTCTCCAGATTCTCTCAATCTTTTGATGATATTACATACTGTAGATGGTGGGATATTCAAAGTCTTTGAAATCTTACGTAAAGGAATATTTTTCTGAAATTGTTCCACAATTTTTAGATGCAGTTCTTGGCAGATTGGTGAAACTCTGTCCATCTTTGCTTCTGAGACTCTGCCTCTCTAATATGCTCTTTTTATTCTAAGTCATGTGGGTTAGTTTCAAATTACCCCTCCAGGTGTTTTTTATTAGTACCACTTACTTTTCCAGCCTTTTGTTGCCCCTGTGCCAACTTTTTTGAGATGCATTGCTGCCATCAAGTTCTAAATTAGTTAATTGTATGTTCTATTGTGATTGAAATATGGGTTTATGAGATTTGCAAATCATTGCATTCTGTTTTTATTCACATTTTACACAGCGTCCCAACTTTTTTTTTATTGGGGTTGTACATCAGTAGTGTAAAGACAGCTACGTACTCTTTATAAGAGAAAGCAAATTCTAGTCAGGACAATTTTACTAGCTACATATAGCAGCTAGCTAACATTATGCTAACATTATGCATTATTAAGTTACTCTTCCTGCTACTCTCCCGCTAGCTCCTTCACTTTCCTGCTAAAAAATGCTATTAGACTAAGGATTTGAATATCAAATTCGAAATGCCCATCCTTAGCTAAAACCATACCCTGGTTAACTGAGTCTGTGGGTTTTTTTGTGTGGTGATTTTTTATATTGATCTCTATGAAAAACATCCTGTTAATGACTTTATAGTCAAATTCTTTTACAGAACACTGTATGTGTGTAAGTCTCACCTACCAATTTCAACCGAAGTTTGATCAGTTTCCTGTTGTCTGTAAACGGTACAGTTGTAAACTCCTGCATCGTTAGTCACCAGATCTGTGAGCAGGAGAGAGAAGTTTCCACGCTTGACCTCCTCAGTAAAGAAACTGGCTCTTCCACTGTAAGCCTGGTCCTGAGCCTCTGGTTTACACTCTCCATCTTGGAATAAATGTACTAAAGTGTCAGAGTCTGTTCTCTTCCACTCCACTTCCAGCTGTTCCGGTGATATGGGGGCTTCAACGTAACAGGGCAGCATCACTGAGCCCCCCAGCTTTACAATCAGAGGACCAGAGGGGCCGAGAACATGAAGCCCTGAAAGAAGAGCAAACACAGTGAGATGAGTAATATTTTTTACTTTTTCATTTCACAATATTACAAATACTAACTACTAATATTAATTACTAATATTAATAAAACACTGCTAAAAAAAGGGTATTGACCAGGTAAATTTTAGTACCTCAAAGTGCAAACAATGTGACGTATTACGTGGTCTTTAAGGTCAAACTGTTAAAATGTACAGCACATTCACATTCTCAGTGCAGAGGGACTCAACATTTCTAAACATAAGAATAATATAAAATGCCAGGAGTCAGTTTGGAATGCATGGAGTCAATGTAACTTAAACAATACAGCTGCAACAGAATTTGATACAATCATGTTCCCTAAGTAAAGGTAATGAAGTCGTGTCCCCCAATGACAGCATTTGCACCCCGAAAGCTACAGTTTTTTTCTGAAAGTGTATATAAATGATCATGACTTCCACTGTATGACATGACAAGTACAGTGTATGAAAAGTAGTCGACAATTTGTGCGTTGTCTGTTTAGGCAAAGTAGGCCTACAAGGTGTTTTTCAATCACTTCACTCTCTTTACTTTCACTTTTACTTTTCAGGTCACCCGGCTGGGAATCAAACCCAGGCCATTTTTGCTGTGAGGCGACAGCGCTACCCACTGCGCCACCGTGCCGCCACCCTGGGAATTCATTAATGCAAAATTTGCATTAACCACTTCTCTTTCTTTACATTTGTTTTCTTCAAATAGATGAAAACAGGCATAAAACACATCCTTTGGCTTCTAATGAAAAATCTGCATTAACTACTTCACTTTCTTTACTTTCATTTTCTTCAAGGGGATAAAAAAGCACTGGGATTATAAAACACACCCTACTCCTCTATCTTTAATATACATGTCTATTCGTTACTAAGTAAAAAAAAACGTACTGGATGCGACACAGTAATGACTGCTTACTTTTTATAACGGCCTATTTTCTCTTCGAATATTCGACTCAAACACCATTTTATACACAATTACTGTATTACTGTGTCTCAGAGAGACCATTTCAGGTCATGTTTAGTGGAGAGCAGAAGGCGGAGACGCACCGTGCGCTTCGTCTTTCAGTCTGACTGAACTACATTAGACTCTGTTCACTGAAGCAGCTCAGCAGTAAATATAAACGAACAGTGTTTAAATCTCTGCTTACCGTCACAGATGAACAGAACTCCTGACAGAAAAAGACAAATAATTAAGCTCATCTTCACATCTGAGAGGAACACGGCTCTGTATCAGTTTCACTTCTCAGACTTCAGCGGTGGGTGGGCGGGACAAATGGGCGGGGGGGGGGCTGTCAATCACTTGGCAATCGAGCCAATCACATAGCAGCTACCGAGTCCTAACGAGCCAATCACCAACAGGAATACAAGACGCAGTAGAAACAGTTCTAATAGCGCAATAATCGCCCAGTTTCAGCGCCGGAACTAAGATCAGAATTTTAGTGAGGTCCATTTTGCGGAAATGTGACTGTCAGAGTTTTTTTTTAACCAAATCACTGCTCCTTTTTAACCATCCATATCTGTTATGCACATTTTCCTTTCATTTCTTCCTTCACCATCCCTCCATTCAAATATATATATATATATATATATATATATATATATATATATATATATATATACATACATATTTGACTCCAGTTATCTGGTTTAAATTTAATGAATCATTTAACTATTTATTTGTATGTTTATTTCCAGCTGATAATACATACTGAGACCACATACAGTAAATCAAGTGATAGTTTCAAATTGATTTCATTTGCTGTAACTGGACTACAGCATGCTAATTTAGCTAGCGACGTTGTTAGCGCTCCAAATAAAAAATATTCAATGTTTTTTGCATTTTACAAGCATAATAAGTACATTTCACTCATAAACTTTTACATTTTTACCACACCAATGTTATAAGTTAGCCTTTAGCATGTGTGCTGCACACCTGAACATCTCAAGTCAAAGTTACTCTGGTACTCAGGGTATGGGAGGCAAATCCAGCCAAAAAAGAAATTAAAATGAAAACAATAAAATATAATGCAAACCTCTTTTTGCCATTTATTTTTCCAAACATCTGCGCAAATATCCTGCCAAAACTGAAAATTAAATGAAATGCCTACATTTGCAATTTCATTTTCCACATGAGCGCGAGCCATTTGTGACAAGAATAAAAATAAATGTAAAACAGCTATTAGTCATTTCATTTTAGTCGTTATTCTGGTTTTTCATGGTCAAATCTAAAATGGATAAGCTAATAGAGAAAAGAAAATCTTGGCTTCACTTTGGCTTTGGCTTTCCTTCATGAAATACAGAATACGAGTCAAAACTAAGATCAAAATACTGTGTTTACGTTTTTATTTCTTTTTCATAGAAATCGGCTGCATAGCTGACAAAATGAAAATGAAAATGCAAAACGGAAAAATCAACAGCAAAATGACAGTTTGTGATTCAGTTTTCGGTGTGGGCGCTTTAAGTGTCAGAATGAAAAGGCAAATGCAAACGAACATCAGCGCCACCTGCTGGAGATTTACTTTATATTTCCGACTTTTCTTTTTCGTTTTCAAACTGACCAACATGCAAATATATGTTAATTTGCACAGGGCGGGGCTACGGGGTACATTTTAGGACATTCTCAGACCTCAGAGTCAGAACGGCATCATTGCTAAAGGTAAACGACCTCAAGTCTCAAGAAAAACCACCGTCATGACTCAGATCTGGTGAAACTGAACATCAGACCAAACGGCCTCAGAGAAATGGTATCAGACCAAACGCAAGCCCGGTATGTATCTCGATATAAATGCCAGTATAACATTTTCACAGTTTTTTCTGAAGCCGTTTGGTCTGCAGTTCAGTTTCACCAGATCTGAGGATGTCCTAAAATGTACGCCGCCCAGTGCTAATTAACATATATTTGCATGTTGGTCAGCCAAGATTTTCTTTTCTCTATTAGCTGTTTCATTTTAGATTTGGCCATGAAAAACCAGAATAACGACTAAAATGAAAGGACTAATAGCTGTTTTACATTTATTTTTATTCTTGTAACAAATGGCTCGTGCTCATGTGGAAAATGAAATTGCAAATGTAGGTATTTCATTTCATCTTCAATTTTGGCAGGATACTTCCGCAGATGTTTGGAAAAAGAAATGGCAAAAAGGTTTGCCTTTTCATTTTATTGTTTTAATTTGAATTTCTTTTTGGCTGGATTTGCCTCCCAAACTCAGGGCAGCGTAGCGTCTCATACAGAGATAAACAGAGCGGGCAGTTCAGTCTAGGGCAGAACCACAGCTGTTCTGAGGTCAGTTGAGAACCTCTCACTGTTCACTGTGTGGTTTCATCGCTTTTTCCACACTGAATCTCATAAAACCCTTCAGAAACTTCTGAGCACCTCGGCGTCCTAACGCTGGTCACGGCGCTGCTAACGTACTGAGGTAATTGTGGACAGCATCAATTACTAAGCTGTGATTGGAGGGTTTAGAAAATAACACAGAGTTTGCTAAGCAACGACTTTGACAGCTGTAGGAGACGCTCAAGCCATTTGAACGTTTTTACTTCTTACTTTGCCACAAACAGAAAATGGACACTTTTAAGATCACATTTGACCGACAGCCGATTTGGTCAGACTCTGAAGATGAGACTACACTAAATTCCCAAACTGTCAGTCGGTCTGTGTGGAGCTGGAGAACGAACTGCCGGCTGTGCAGCGAGTGGGCGGAGCTCGTTACTCTGACGTAGCAACAAGCTGCTTGTTAAGGAACTATAATTTGGAGGAACTGTGAACATTAAAACATATTAAACGCCAAGTTTATCACAGCTATGATGTTATTTCGCGATAACACACTCCCTCTTGTGTTCTTTTGCTTAAATTAATATTCTCTTCCCATTTGACTGGGTGGCCTGTGGTACTGTGGCTGCGGCCCTGAGTAGACTGTGTTATCATAATTGTGCTGTTTCTACATTTAATCTCATGAATGAGGGAAAGTGAAACACCCTTCTGAAACTGCTGAGGTCCGGACCTCTGTGTCCTCATAGCTACTTACAGCCATGCTCAGTTTTACTGATTTTAGAGTAAGAAATACTGCACTGCATTTCTACAGCTGCACTGAACTAAACTGCAGCAGTGCTGTGCATCTTTGGAGGTAGCAGTGATTTAGTTTTCTGTGCTGCAATAGAAGCTGCATTGCTTGTATCTTGTTTCTTGAATGTGCATTATTGTTGTTCTGGTTGTGGCATGAGTAAAATTTGGGGGAGGTGCGTAAAGTTGCCACCCATTTCAGATGTTTGCCAGCTGAGGTCGCTGTGCCAGGCAAAGCTGCCAGGTGTTTGTATGTTCTGATAATGATGGTAATACCAGCTCTTTTCAGTGATCAATTGGCTCAGCTCACAAATAAGAGCCGGCTCTTTCGGTTTATAGGTGCGAGTTAGCCTTGGGACAATAATTGATATATAATATTGTGATCATTTTGATGAGTGCCAGTATTATCCAAGTTATCTTTCTTTTTTTTATTGATTTGACTTTCTACATCCATGTACAAGCTTTCTGATCATTATGAGCGCCTGGGCTCCTCCTTATACCATTAAATAAAATGAATAACAGCAATTTTGATGATGTAGCATTTTCAAGGAAATGTAAATAATGATGGTGGCCTCTATGAACAGCATTTAGCGAGCAGTCCTGCAGTCAGAGCTGTGGAGGAGTACAGTGTGTCACCATTGCCGGTGTGGGCAGAGGTGATGACAGAACTTGGCCTTGCTGATTTAAGTTTCACAAAGCTTCAGCATAGTGTGAAAGTTCTGAATGCGTGCCTGTGCACACCTAGTGAGGTTAGGTGTGGTCTGAGCATTTCTTCAGGAAGCTTGGTAAAAAGATTTTGCCAGCCCTGAATGTATGTCATGGTATGTGCACTGTGACTCCACTTCTTCCTTGTAATTGTTGATACAGGCCCTATCTGATCTGTCCAGGTTTCAAGGCAGGTTTTTTCCATAAATAAGTCTCTTCCTTGTCTTTACTTTTGTTTTCTTTAAATGGACAAAAACCACACTCAAACTAAGAAACATACTCCAGTCTTCACCTCGAAACATACAGACCCAGTCACTGACAAATCACAGTTGAAAATTCTTTTTAGGCTTAGCCTTAATCTGGGTGAAAATGTGGATTTGGCAGTTAAACATCATTTTTTTTCAGCTACTCAAATCTGGATTTCAGTACAGCTCTGTTGGAGTTTTTTTCTGAAGCACTGAAATCCAGAATTCTGGATGAAAATTATGAGACAGTTCAATATTTGGCTGTATTTTTTGGTTATATTTGGCTGTTCCCTTCACCAGGACCCTAAGATTTATGAACTAAGTGGAGAAGAATATACCTTCTTTCTGTTTTATCACTTTCAGTAATTCAATACTATTATTTTCACCGTGTGAAAGATGCGTTCCCGTGAACCCGGGAGGAAGTGTTGTTATGTTGATTTCTGAAAGTCCATCATCCAGTTGGTTCAAACTGTTACAAGTTTGAATGTCAATGATTTCCGCAAATTTAAAGAATAAACTTGGGTTCAACATGAATTCTTTCCTTGTAATATTCATATTCTTTGGCACAAAAACTGTAAAACGGGTTAATCGAAACTTTTTTCATTTAAAAAGCAGTGCACTTTGGTATAGCTGTATAAGTGGACAAAACGCTTCATCAGAATGTATTTATTACTTTCAATAACTCAAAAACATTATTGAATGCAGATAAAAATCATATGATTTCCGTAGAGTGAACACACTCTCCAGTTTTCATTACTGAGTTTGAACCAGTGACAATGACAGCAACAGTGGATATTCAAACCAATAAGTGGGGGCAATTCACTCTCCTATATTTAATATGAGAACACTGCAAGCTGCGTTGATTCACAGGCCACATCTGGTAAAACTGTCCTGCCTCTCTAGCTGACGATAACAAGGTGAAGTTGAACTCTAAAAGGCCCTCATGCTACCAGCAAGTACCAAAAAGCAATGTGATTGACAAGACTAGATTATACCACAGATTAGACCATTGGCATGTCAAAGTGTTTGAATGTGAAAGTGGATGAAGTCAGTGTCAAGTACATTTGTTCACTGATTTTCTGAACATGAGCGTGACTATGTGCATAAACAGGGTTGGGCAAAACACTTTGAAGAAGTATGAATATTTTTCATACGTGTTCAGAATGCTTTTAAATATATTTACAGTACATTGTATTAAGGCAAATGGGAAAGTCTTTTTTTACTCTATTCTCACTGTTCATCAATGTTACT